GGGGGGCAGAGGGCGGAAAGGCCGTTGTAGTGTCGGAATTCGGGGACGCTATTGGGGGCGTCCTTTCCTTTGCCTCGCGTCAAGAAGTAGAGTGACAGAGAGAGGAGAGCACGAGCCCTTCTCATACTTCCGAATCAGCGCAGCGGGCAGAAAATGACTGAGCGCGCGCACGCGGGGGCGGCTGCTGGTGACGGCGTATGGCCGCGGGGTGTTGGAGGGCGGATTGGACTTGGGCCCCGGCATTCAACGCGTCAACTGCCTCGTCATCCACGACGCCCTAGCCACGCCCCAGCGCTGCCGGCCGGGCGCCTCAGCAGTCACCCCAGGAGGGAAGAATTATACAAAATAACAGGGCAGGGCTCTTTCTTTGAGTTCTGGGCAGCTCGGGTCCAGTCAGTGCTATCGAGCCCGGCACCGTTCTATCGGCGTGACCTGCCGACGACGTCCTTGGAGTGCACTCGGGCGGCGCGGGCTCGGTGCATCCCCGGGGCGTATCCGGTGCCGATGCCCGCCACGCCCAGCCCACGCCGCGCCACGCCACGAGCGCTATACGCGCGACCACGCCCCAACGCACCTTCTCCGGGAGCAGCGCAGAGAAGAAGAGACGGCAAAAGTTCTGTTGTTTCCAGTTCTGGGTCTCTCGCTCTCTGTCTGGATATTCATATTCATCATGTGGAGTGGGGTGGCTGGAGCGAGAGGGGGGGATCGCAGCGTCGCGAACCGAACCAAGAAGGACTTCCGCGAGGACTGGGCCGGCGGTGCGCAGTGCGCCACGCCCCGCCACGCCCCGCCACGCCCCGCCAGGCCACGCCCCGCCCCCGGAGCAGCAGAGGACCGCGGCCCGGGCCGGGCGGGCGGGAGCGTTGCCTCGGTTGCCTCCGGCCGAAGGAAGTGCGACACATCCTTTCCTTCCCGTTAGAGTTGTGGTCTTGGGGAGAGGGAGAGAGTGAGACAGATTCGGTCCGCCTCGTTCTTATTCCCCGCGCATGCAGGCTCGGCGGTGGCGCTATACGCCTCCATAGTGACTGAGCACAAGGGCCATAGTTTTTTATCATTTTTATTTATCTTTATTTCTCTCCGAAATGTGACCTCTTTCTTTCTTTCTCCCCGCGTCCCCGCTCGCACGTAAAATGCGTTTGCAGCTGCTGCGACACGAGCGAGGGGTGCCCCCGCTGGCCCCGCTGCAGCAGCTAGGCCCTAGCTCACTCGGAAGGGAGGCGAGCAATGGGCGGGATAAGAGCCCAACCGGTGGCTGCCGTAGTGGTGGTATACGCGCTTGCGAGAAGTGTGCCCTGATTGATACACTTTAGGGGAGGTTCCATACGCCCCCGCAGCAGAGGCCTTTGTATGCGAATGTATAAAGCACACACAGTCGCAGCTAAGCCGTCGTATACACCGCTGCTATGTCTCTCCGCGTCTCTCGCCTATGTCGTTCGGGGACAATGACAATGAGCCATTTTACGCGTGAGTGCTCGAGCAGTGAGAGGGCCGGGGTGAGAGGGGCGGGG